GGAAACGAGTGAGGGGTTCATAAAATAAAACTAGTTAAATATTCTTTGAACTGCCTCGTTGGCCGAGTGGTCGCAAGTGCGACTGCCGGGCAAGGGGTCTCGGGTTCGATTCCCGGGTCGGGCAAAGTATTACTAGGTTTAAAAAAAAAAATTCTCAGTAGTAGCACGGAGTCTGGAAATGTGCCCAGTATATGGCAATAGGCTCACCCCCTATTACATGGAACTCATAACATAAATAGCGAAAAGCGAGTGTTACATTGTACAGTGGTATAATGTGCACCTCTGCCTACCCCTTCGGGGATAAAAGGCGTAATGTTATGTTATGTTATTTTTTGAAAAATTGGTAGAATTGTTGTGATTTCGTTCTAACATTTTAATCTTTCTTTCTTTTATGAGCGAAGGCAGTCAACCGTGAAACGTTGCTAAATAACTAATAAAACTAGCTTAGGAGTTTTCATAATACATCTGAAGTGTTGTAACGCCGTAACAAAGATATTGGACGTTTGTGATCTAAAATAAATCCTTATCAAACGAATGAGATATGCGAGTAACGAAACTATGATCAATTGGGCGTCAACACCGAACTTTTATCTCTGGAGTACGTTATGGAGATAAAGATTCGTAAATAACTTTTCCTACACAACACTTAAATCTTTCACTTTCATTATTCAGTACCTTACCTACTTGTTTAACTTTAATAGATGTTATTTGTTATTCATGTTTTTATTGTTAACTAGCTTCTGCCCGCGACTTCGTACGCGCAATCCCGTTTCTCCCATTCCCGTAGGATTTCAGGACTTTTTTTCTGTCATAAGAACCTTGTCCTGACGATAACAAACACAACAAAAAAGAAATCAGCAAAATCGGTCTAGCCGTTCTCAAGTTATGGCGTGACAATGGGAAACGGGTTTCATTTTTATATATATAAATAGTAATTGGTAAGCGATGATGCGGCTAAATGAATATCAGTTATGACGAAAATGCCACTGATTAGGTGGTAAAGTCTCCTTCAGGGCTGCGCAGAAACGCAAGGAGTTACGAGACTCTCGTTCGAAGGAGAAGTTGAAACGGCGTGGTTTTTAGCCAGTAAGAGTGTATAGCTAACAAGAGTCTGAAGCCTCACCCAGGGTGGGACGACTCATTTCCTCATTCGATAATTTTTCCTCTCAAAAAATATCCTCGATAGGAATGGACGTGACTAGCTGCCGTATAGTGGTTGCTATGAGAAATATTCACAGGGAAACAGCAGCTTCAACATTGTCACAGATTAGCCAATCAACAAAGATTAAACTGCTAGTGAGATTGACAGCTTAGCCAGACGTATGAACGTAAGTGTGGTAGGGGACTAAGGCAACTATGTATATGCAGTGTAAGTGCATTAGCAATTGAACAGGAAGCGTGAAGGAGGAAAGGAGATATTTCGTCCCCTGTGACACAACATACAACGCTGGCGGCTCGCGAAAATATAAAATCTATCGATTTATAGACTTCATTAATCATGAAGAATACAATTTTCAAGCGACTTTAAAAATGAGGTTCTCAGTTTGACCAGTGTGTATGTATGTATGTTTGTGCGCGAATATCTCGCGATTGGCTGAACCGATTTTGGAGCGGTTTTCAGAAAAGTGTTTTTACACTTAGGACAAGGTTTTAGTATAATAATTAATAAGGTTATTAATTCTTATTAAATAAACAGTAAAATTATAATCTTAATTCTTCTCATGAAGAAGAAAAAGTAACTGAATCAAATTAAAGGAAAATTTTACTGACAAAAAACAACACAAGGTAGCTAACTTCCAATCTATTACTCCGATTAATGAATAGTTTATAATGTTTATTTTATGCTGCATAGTATTTTAAGAAGTCGTTTATTAAATTGACGTTTTTTTTTAATGCGGGAGTGAAGTAATGATCCACGATTTAAAGTGTTTAAGTAAGATTCGGAAAGATGCGTCATCAGGTGTCGACCTTGTCTCGAAATCAATGTTACCGATACTCTTTGTTTCTTTTCGCAAAGAATTTATCGTCATACCAACCGAAATTGGCATGTGGATGAACTTCAATTCAAGATAATTGCTTTTTTGTTCAAAAAAGTGCAGTAGTTCTTTTTTATTTTTTTTCTTTCTTTAACATCAGTGGCTTGTCCATTAATCAGTGTTAACTGATTTAAGACTCGGTTGGTTGAACAACACTTATTAGTACCATAATAATTGAGAGTGCGCAATTTCTTAAACATGTCGTGATTGGTTCAATCAACTGCCAGCTGTGATGTTCATGAACTTACATTTTGAACACAAGCTTCATTATTTTACATGGAAAAATGTGGTATATACCTAGTCTATAGTCCATAACATAGGTATAATAGGAACTGCCTCCTTGGCCGATTGGTCGGACAAGTGGTCTCGGGTTCGATTCCCGGGTCGGGCAAAGTATTAGGTATTGGGTTTTTAAAAAAAAATCTCAGTAGAAGCACGGAATCTGGAATTTTGCCCGGTATATGGCAATAGGCTCACCCCTTATTACATGGGACTCAAAACATAAATAGTGATAAGTGGGTGTTACATTGTACAGTGGCATTAAGTGTCGTAATGTGCACCTCTGCCTATCCCTTGGGCGTAAAGGGCGTGATGTTCTGTTATCAGTCACTTATACAAGATACCTTACGAATTATATTTCCCCAAAAATATAAGTAGGTATTTCATAAATCAGATTACCAGCTACTAGTTCAAAAGAGATCATTACGAAAACACAAGCACTAACAGGTTCTCAATTACCAAAATATCACACAAAATAATACATCAACATGAAAAAAGGAAGCAAGCTTGTCCGATACAAGTAGAAACAATAAACAAGAAATAGATATCAGAGTGCAGTGCAGACTGACAGAGAAAACAATGGTTCTCAGGCAGTAATGTGTAAACAAAACAATGTCAATACACCCTGAACAGTGAGCTGTGTAGTAATGTTGTAAACATGCTGTATTAGGTGTAAACTTACATATTGTATTGTTTACAATTATTGATAGAATTAAGTTATTATTATGTAGTTTTACAGAACTGACTGCTTTTTATAGTCAAGTGATATCCTATTTGTATGTCAAATAAAGGTATGATATAGTTTCTCAATTTTGATATTAACCCATAAATCCCCAAGCGGTCACCGGTGACCGCTTTCCACTAATATTACATTACATTATAGACCTTATTTCTAATGTTTAGAGAATACTTTTGTATGACCAAATTTAGGGGATGGATATCAACGGGTTAAGTTGAAGACTGTGGAATGGTGTCCAGCAATGCATTATCAGCAGTTACTGAACTAGTTTTGAGTACCCATTTCTCGTACTGCTGTTCTTGGGTTAGGTCAGGTTTTAAAGTATTTTCGCAACAATCTTGAATGAGTAGATTGAGGTGCACATAACATACTATTTAATTTTTCAGTTATCTAATGAGTCCTATGTAATATGCAGCTGTAGCTAAATGCCATTTAGCGCTTGTCTATATACTTGTAGAGCAAAAAACTAAATTATAGGTACATAATATGGAATTGACATAAATTTTTACACTTGTCAGTGTCATCCACAAAGCTAGTAAATTATATACCTTCACATTATTTACTTTTTTTTAACATATGTTTATATAATTCAACAATTAACTCATCGAGTACCGGTTTTGTAGACACAATTATAGAACAATAGGTTGCGGTCACCGGTGACCGCTTGGTGTTTGACAGTTTAATGGGAGACAAGAGCCCATACTAAGCAGAGCCTGATTATATACAGTACTAGCTTCTGCCAACGACTTCGTACCCACAATCCCATTTTTTCCCATTCCCGTAGGATTTTCAGGATTTTTTCGGTCTTAAGAACCGTCTCCTAATAATAACAAATACAACAAAAAAAGAATTAGTGAAATCGGTCCTGCCATTCACGAGTGATACCATGACCAAGGGAATAAGGGATTCATTTTTATTTATATATAGATATATACCTTTCCTTATAAGTTTATCAGAAGATATAAGTGAACGAGGAAGTTATTTTTAACTCATACTGTTACCTTGACTTTTTGCAGCTTCATTAAAGCATGCTTCTGATGTTCACATTTTATTATTGCTACAAGAGTACTCATAAATAAGGACAATTGAAAAAAAAATTCTTATTTTCATAATTAATTGATATTCAACCTCTCTTTGCTTTTCTTTTTTTTCTGTTTCAAGAATATAGGATAATAAAAATATATCTAGCCAGCTACAAGTATTTAATCATTATCCTATAGTAAAACAATACATTATAAATTATTGAGTCTTCTAAAACATTCTAGATAATAATAGTTAACCGTAATTTAAAAAAAGCTTTAAAATTTCAAAATATGGATACTTCGAGATAATATTGGAAGATAACATCAAAATATGTGTTTAAATTATGCAAGAATATGTAATGAACTTATAGAAAACCTGTTTGTATCATTGTCATTGACCATAGCTTACTTTTAGTGGCATAAACAAGGCATACAGTATTTTATTTTGTAGAAAAAAAAATCTTGTAAGTGTTTAGTTAGTTTCATTTTTATTACAGGTCTACAGGAACTAGGAACTAGATATTAATTTAAAAGCGAAAACAAATTAATGTTAGAATCTTGCTTTGATCCCATTAATATTTTTATCTAATTGGATCATTATTATTATTACATAATCTAAAATAAATAAATTGGTATGTTTGATATACTAATAAGATAAATCCTGCAGGAATTTAGTTACATTAAAATAAGAAATGGTCTGATTATGAGTACCTATGTTGTTTCAGAATCTAATTGTCGTATTTTTATTATGTACAACATGTTTTATTGATAATTATTGTAACACGAAAAACAGATTAAAATAGTCGTTCGTATGCCAAACGCATGCGCCGGCTAACAGCCACAGAGAATGATGACTTGGTAAATCTAAAAATAACAAACACATGGTCGAAACAAAAAACTATCGTAAGTAAACATAATACTCACGGCCATCTGTGAAGGTGTCTGTGGCGTCCAATGGGATGACCAGCAACGGGAATATGCCACTCAGACCGACCAGGACCGAAGCCAGTCCAGAAAATAGCCATGGATGCTCGTCTAGTTGATCCACAAAACTGTACATGTATTCTGGTAAAAAGCCCGACAACGCCATTGCGACTTCGCGCGATGGATTTAAATCGAATAGAATAAAATTCAGTTCTTTTTTCAAAACTCACAAAGCAACTGTTAACGTTATAAGCTGCCTGTACTACCGATACATCATCGAAACGACCGGCGGATACTGTTTCGCGCGATGAACTGAATATAATCAGTATCAGTACACCGGAGATGTTCGCATTTCCGAGTTCTCCGAGATAAAGCAAGATGCCCGAGACCAGACGAACTAATCTACACTGAGACTCAGAACGTCCGACCGATATTGTCTTTATCTTTGTATGATAATAGAACAAAGACTATTAAGTCACCGATCTTTCACAAAAATAAATTATTTTTCGTTATTTTGCGCACTAGAAATATTTTACGAATATCATTGACACCCCGCCAAAGATCATTACAAAACAATGCGACGAAAGGACGATGCGATGAACGAATATATCAGAGCGACTGTCAAGAAACTATCAACTGTCAGTTCGACACATGACAGATAAGATTACATGAATTACAATATTACCAGAGGTAAAAATATTCCTACCAAATAAAAACGCACATTACATTTTTGGTAGGTGTTGACATTGTTTAGTTATTTAGTTTTAGTTTGAATTTCTATTTATCTGAGACTTCGAGAACTTTAGAAAATAAGTCAAATTCGTATTGCAATATTTGAGGCAGCTTAAGTCAAACCTACACAAAACACATTTAATAAACACGAAAATTAATTATTAGATCTAGGATGATTATAATATAAACAAATTTCTTAGAGCTTATGAAAAACAAAAGTATTAACAGTAAAATTTTTCTTCTGAAAATTAGGTATTTATTATTCTCTAATATTAATAACGTTGAAATGAATCGGTCTAATTAATTGGAAACAATCCAAAAATAGATAAAACGACTGCAAAAACTTTGATATTAAGTAACAACAATGAGTGAACGACCTACTAATTATCGTAAAAAGCTAATAAAACTAATAAAATTGATATGTATTTAAAAGCATTCTTGAGTAATCACGGAATCAATTTCTAGATTTTGCGAAGTGGGTGCCTCAGTCTAAATAGCGTAGACATGGATTGAATCAGTCGTTAGATGATGTTAGACGGTCTCGCATCTACCGTAGTTACTGTGACACGATTGCAATACGAATCTTCTTGGCAGCCGCACCGTCTCACTGCGCCCAGTTGAAGCAAAATGCCGTACTTATTTTGGCCTGCCAATTTAAATATCTGACAGCATATAGCATCTGCTACAATATAACTTTACTGAGCGGTTCGCATTTGTACCGGACGGTTAAGGCGGATAGACAGTCGACATGACGGGGAACTTGTTGAGTTAACCAGTTCAAACTTCGTTTACGGAGTTTTCGCGCCAATCCGATCTTTGTGTGATTTGAAAAGGATCAGTGTAAAGGACTTTTGATTTTGTGGAAAGGTATTTGGATTAGCCACCATGGATTCATGGGGAATTTTGAATGTGGACAGCGCTGCGATGGCGATCACAAGGGATGATTTGGGATCCAGCTTTCGCCGGAAACAAATGATGGTAATAATATGTTTTTGTTAATCCATGGGAATGTATCCATTATATTGTTACACGATCCATTGCTTCTTTCCAACGCAAACACGATGGTATTTAGGGAGATAATCACAGAAATATTAATATAATAATTAATAATTATAATACATAAACGTGGAAAACTAGATAAATATAAGAATGAACAGTTAAACTCTTATTTTGTTCCTATTTAATTGAGTTGAGTAACTAAAGGTGATACACCGAAACAGTTTTCAATATTCCGTCAGGGTTTCAGTCAGTGATTCATTAGGATGTAATTAGATGATCTCGTGTAAAAGCTTTCAAGATAATGAATACACGACATTCTAAATTATTCAGTGACATTTCCTCATGTGGGAAGGGATAGTTGAATTTGAATCATTATTAATTCACGAGAGGTACTTTCCATAAATATATATGTTCAAATACCCAGATAAACTAATAATAGGTGATTGCCCTATATTTTCCACGATATAAATATTAAATACTACACCAGCTACGCAAATCAGGTAAAAGCATTTTTTAACTCCAGTCACTTGTCGAACGTGGGGTTATGGCAAACGCATCTCAGAAGAGAGGCCTCTGTTTTCAGTTATCTATAAAAACAAATTGAAAATATTTCAGTCATTCACATCCTAAGAATTCTTGTAGATATTAAGATATTTTTTAGGTCACATTAAATATGACAGATGTTTGATGTTTGCTCATGTCTTAAATTACGACAAAATATCAATATCTGAGCTATGTTGTCCGACTGAGATTGAAAACGAAATGAATAATTCCAAAAACCTATTTGTTTTCGACAGAAATCTTATACATGTATTGAAAAATATTTTAGTGATGCTCATGAATTTGTAATTTTTGAAATACTGGTTGAACATTTTGATTAATGTAGCAATGCAAGTACTATCAAGTCTTACGTCATAAAAAGCTAAGTACCCAGATGAAGACGTTGCTATTTCTATTATGCTAATCAATATTATAAATGCGAAAGTTTCTTTATTTGCATGTTTGTCCGTCAATCACGCAGAACAATTTTGATGAAATTTGGTATACAGGCAGGGTACGGGCTGAATTAGGCGATAGGATGTTTATCCCGATTAAATGCTCCCATGGGATAAAACTGGAATTGGGATGATAACAGGGTATGAAAATTAAAATAATAATTAGTCCGCAAGTTAGGTAATGAAAAAATATTAGACACGTAATTTTTTATTTTGTCGTATTATAAAACAATACCTACTTAGATAAAACGAATCAAAGTTTAGGAGTGGGGGCTAAAACGTCATTTCTACGTATAAAATGTACATAGAATTGACGTCACGGGATATTTCAAATCAATATATCGTCGAATGTATTCGTTTCTGTAAGAATATAAAAAATACGTTTCTAATGATTTAAAAGAATTTACTAGACGAATATTAAAATAAAAAGTAGGCATCTCCCCTATTATATTCTACACGAGTGAAGTCGCGAGCAACAGCTAGTTAATACTAATAAAGCTTTGCTTTCTACAAACCTCAAATATGCATATAGGTTACTCTATGCATATTTGAGTACATATAAGTACTCATAAACTAAGATTTTTTTTACGTGCATCATAAATCAACGCCTTAGTCACCGTCGGTTAGGTACGCATCGAGAACTTTAGGAAGACAGTTTATAAATAGACTGTACAGTTTTTTCATTACCATGCTCGTTACATGACATAATTCTCTGTGAGATATCACTATCATACTCTGTCTAGAGTTTGTTTCGTATTTTGTTTGTTTTGGCTTGGTTAACAATTTCGAGTTAGGTTTAGTGACTTGGACTCTGGAGTAATATAAAGAAAACTTGACTCAGCATTATCAGTACGACGACGAACAGTTAAAACAGAGAGCAAGATTAAGTTTTGGAAGTACATGGCACAATTTTTAGCCTCTCCCTGTCTTCATCCGAAGGTCTTTCCTCTCTGATATTTTGTTACAAACTCCTGATTCATGATCGTGTTTCAATCTAGAACATTTTATTTCATGACTCGTTTGATAACGACTTTCATCTTTATCTTAGCATAATCATATTTTTCCATGTTTTAATGATGTGTTGCAGTGCTTTTTGAAGTCTTAAATAGTTTGCGAACACGAAACGAATCGAAAATATATAATAATATATCTTCGAGTAACACGTGGCTCCATTAGTGAGTTATCTTAATAGTGTTCATGTATCTTTGGCTAAGAATGGGGCATTGACGAATTGTAGTGCAATTATTTTGAATTCATATGTTTGAAAGTGAGTTAAATAACTCTAAATTCAAGTAACGCTGTAGGAAGGAATGAAGGAATAGGCGAAAATGTAAGCAAAATCGTAATTGCTAAAAGAAGAGAAATATAATATGGTTTTTGTTCTCGATTGGGCACACAGACGGTAACATTACAAGTATTAATTTATGGTTTTCGTAGTAAGTTATGTAGTTCTGTTCTGCCACGTTCCTGCGTGTAGGGGAATGACCTATCTGAGAGTATTAATATAACATAATCACTAAGTACCTACCTACTATGCACTAGGTCGGTCTGTTGACATCCTATAATATCTAAAAATAAGTCGCTGTGGCAATGACAGGCGATTGATTTGTGCCAAACAATTACTTGTTCTGATTATGAGCAGACAATAAGTCGTGTGCTACAAAATCGATAAATAAGATTTATTATTGCAATATGGAAGAGGAAGATTATTCTGTTAATGAATCTAATAAAGTAGATGAAGAATCGCAAACTGATATTACTTATACTCTTAAAGCTCCACCAAGGAGGAAGGTAATGTTTCGACCATAAACAAAATAAAAATGTGTATTGGTTGTTTTTCAATTTCGAACTTGTTGTTTTCTTTTTCTTCATCAAATCCCATTATTGTGTGCCAGTTTTTGTATTCGTTAGATGTTCCTCTTTGAGATTTCATTAGTTTATGTTTTTATATTCATCCATTCATTGCTACGAGTTGGCGTCACCATTGAATTAAATATCAAAGTGGTCGCAGAGACTAATTCTAAATCTAGAGTAAAACATCTGTTCGTTGCTAAAAGTACCGATTAGGGTTGGCGCCACGTCCATTACACCTTTGGCTTTAAGACGTCATATCATTGACGTATCTAACAGATTTGCATCGCATATTTAGAGCTTAAAAATACATTGTGTGGATGCATTCCTTCTGTTAAAGACATTTCGCTTGTAACCACGAAGGATACAAAGTGTATCAGAATCTGTGTCTAAAATCAAATTTTGCATTTGATTTCGCTTATTTTTATTAAGATTTGGACATCAAGAATAAAATGAACACCACAAAAAAAAATTGAAAATCGAACGTGCACATGATTCTGCAACGTGACATTTCAAATTAGGAATGTATGTTATGCACTGTCGCTAGATTCAGATCTTACCGATGCATTGTCGCCAGATTCACAACCAAACTTCAATCTTAACTGCTCATTAATAAATGTGGTATTTGTATGTAGCGGTATTATTTTGCCTAGGGAACGTTCGCAACAACGAATTGTAAAGCACAGATTCTAAATTTAATTAGAGAAGTAATAATGCACAAGAATGAGTTCTTCAAGCCAATTTAGTTCGTAAATGATTTTAAGAACAATTATTTTCCACGTAAACATTTGGACATTGAGTCACACAGTCCAGGAAATACCGTCCTGTTTGCCAAGTTATGTCCGCAGCACAGACGTACAGACAAACGGTGTAGGTGTATGTATATAACATATATGTACAGTTATATAAAAATGGCCGACATAATTATTGTCGATTGATAAAGTGACAATAAAATATAAAGTGTTGAATAATTTTGTGTTTCAGTTTAATAGAAGTATATAAGACTTAATGTTGTATTTATGAAATTCAATCATGAAGTCGGTTTAAACTACAATTACGAACTACAACTGCTTCATATTTTTGCATCATTGCATCTAATAGAAACTACACTCCTTTTACTCGTATTCGCTCAGATTCATATGTTTCCTACAGCTATGTAGATTGAAACGTGGACAACGATATGGCATTTGACTTTTGACGCACTTGGCTTCAAAACACACATGTTTAGTAGTAGAAAACCAAACTGAAATATTCATTGACCTAACTATTTATAGGATTTGCGGGTGAGGAAAATTAAATGAGGAATATTTAATGTTAACCACATGAAACAGCTACCAAACTCCCAACCTTTATTGCAACCTCAAAGAGATTAATTCGGATTTCGCGGCTGAAAACTTTCAAACTTCCCGCTTCAACAAATTTTATGCAAAATATAAAAATCTAATATAAAAAGCTGTCGTCATCAATTTTAAAATTAACATAACCACACAGCTGTACGCATTTCTCCAGTCATATCGTGACATTTTATATAAAAGAGTAAATAATGTTGGAATTACTGAAATATTTCTGTTTACACGCGCACTTTCGTCCAATCCCGGATGGTTCCAAAATTAACCTGAGCGTTCCATTTAGGCGCTCGAGTCGAAGTTCGGCGTGTCAAGTAAATCTGGAAATAATTCGCTAGAAAAACGTATATTTTAATGTATATTTTGTGGTTTTTATAAGTGTTTTGTAAATAAATTCATCATGGATATTCCGACCGATGTTTGGGGGCAGTTAGCTTTGGAAGCCAGTCAAGTTTACTTGACTGAGGGCGGGCAAGTCAGGAGTCCGTTCGCTAACACGGTAATGTTATGTAAATGTGTGCTTGTTGTTGTTTATAAGACTTTAGAGACTACATCAATACATATTTATCACTAAATAAATAATAATGTAGCCACACCATAAGGTTTTCAGTACCTATTTCTAAATGAGTGATATTTTTGTCAATAATTTTAAGCAGTCACATTACTAAGTAGTCTATTGTGATAAAGACTGTAGTTGTGTTCCGTATCATTTATTTTAAATAGTTCTGTGCCAATATGCAGTCCAAGCTCTTGCCACAAGTGAGTGATTAATAGTTAGTCATGAAAATAACCTCATGTGCTTACACTTTTGTTTCAGACTATAGAAAAGCTTCCAGACAAAGTATTATTGAATATATTTTCGTATCTAACACATCGAGAAATATGTCGAATGGCAACGGTATGCAAAAGATGGCGAATGGTCGCTTACGATACAAAACTGTGGACTCACGTGAGTTTACGACCTGAGATATCAGGATTACATGTTGGTAAGTACACATAAACTATTAATAGAACCCTTTTCAATCATTACCACTAGACTAGCCTAAAAATAGATTTAAGTAAAATATAAAAGCTACCAAATCCGACCCTATTTCATTACGTTGCAACCCCATACCTATCTTCTGCGATGACATTGCATTTAAGGTTCCTGAACTCGTCAACAGATGGCATTGGAGTTATAATTACATAAATAAACCTCTTCACGGTGTCAAACCAATGAGGATATAAACAGAGATTAATAAAGCCATGCCCATAAAGATTAAGCATGATTTATGTAGCGTATGTAATATTTTTCAGGGTCACTGGAGTCTCTCCTAGCGCTAATATCGATCAGGTTTGGTCCTTCACTGCGCTACATCGAGCTGCCGATAGAACTGATCACTCACACGGTGCTCCACGAGCTGGCTGCTAAATGCCCTAACTTGACACATATGCTGCTAGATTTTAGTACTGGTACGTACTGATAAAAGTTTAAGCATGAACCTCACCTTTGTCCGTTGGTTTTTATGGAATAGAGCGTCAAACGAGCAGATGATGGATTACCAGACCGCGTTCGGCGCTTTGATGGGCTAGTTCGCCGAACGTCGAGCGTAAAAACTTTTACGTACGTACTTACGTACGCGTAATAAGCCCTCAGAGGTCTTCGCGCGTTCGGCACTCTGATTGGTTGGTTTATTGGCGCCGGTCAACCGAACGCGTACTCGTTTCGAATACTTTAAACGTAAAACAAACTCGTACTAAGGCCGTTTATGGACACCCGCAGTACCAGAGGAGATACAAATGATTTGACGACTTTTTTGGATTTGTAGAAAACACATGTCACATGTTGATTGTTGTTGTTGTTGATATACAAACTTTTTAGATTTTGATAAAATGTTGTGTATGAAGGTACCAAGTTTCATTAAATTTGCTTTATTAGTTTTAATGTATTCAGACTAAAAGTTTATGAAAACTTGCGCCGTATAAATGCTCTTGACACGTACACGTACTACTGGCAGTAGAAAACAGAAGAAAACTTACCGTAGCAAAACATTGATTCATTATTCTTTCTTCTACTTCCAGCTATGCAGCTGCACGACTTCTCCGAGATGCAGGCGTTCCCCACGAAGCTGCGGTACCTGTGCATCTGTCTGTCTGAGGTCATCTTCATGGAGGGTTTCATGAGGAAGATATACAACTTTATCAACGGCCTTGAGATCCTGCATCTTATTGGTGAGTTCAAACCTGGGTGCCAAGCGCGAATAACTATCGCATTCGCGATTTATTTATTTATTTATACGCTGATTGGCCGGCTCCAGTGAACCAACCAATCAGGAGCGCCGAACGCGCTCGAAGTCGATACTATGACGGACGTTATGAATGCGATAGTTGCTTGGCACTCTGATCGAAAATGAACACTGACCGTAGTGACCGTGTTCAGAAACAAAATAGGTATTCTTATTTTTAAAATTGGTCTGTCGAGCAAGCGCAACTGTTGAACAAGAAGACTGGGTTCGATCGGGCACATAATAGATTAATTAGGTGAACAGTAAATGATTGAATATTTTTATGAATTTCAAAAATACCTCAGTGATAGCACGGTTTGAAATTATGCGCGGTATTATGGCAATGGACTTTACCCCTAAAGAAACAAATGCTATTCTATAAATTCTCTTCAATTTCTATTGATTCAACCTCATTGAGAAATGAGAAGACGATATAAACATAGTTATACCTATCTCTTTCAGGCACATACGAGAAGGTGGAGGAAGAAGAGGAGGAAATATACGAGGTTATCAACGTGCATAAGCTGAAGTCTGCGACTCCCAACCTGCGCGTCATCAACCTGTACGGTATCAACTTCGTCGACGACTCGCATATTGATGCCTTCAGTTCTAATTGTATACAGGTAACTATAGAAAATGCTTAATTAACGTTACTTTTCCGGTCCGGAGTGATACCACGGCCTCACAGCAAACCGACGTGAAGCAACACTTGCGTTGTTTCCGTGTGAGTGAGTTTACCGGAGGCCCAATTTCTCCTCTCCGCAATCCCTGAATTCACAAATTCCTAATCTCTAAAAGGCCGGTAACACACTTGTAATGTAACGCCTCTGGTGTTCCGGGTGTCCATGGGCGGCGCCGATTGCTTACCATCAGGTGATCCGTCTGCTCGTTTACCGGCTTATGTCATAAAGTAGAACTACCTTTTTCAAACACACTTCGGTCCACTATGGTCGGTACGAAGCTGGTTTGGTATACTCACAAACCGACTATGGCGTCGAATGTCCCAATAACATAATATTATTTCTATTCACAGCTCGAGTGCTTGGCTGTGAACTTCTGCAACAAGGTGACAGGGTCCACCATGAAGACCTTGTTTCAACGTTCTAGGAGACTCACCTGCCTGCTCATGAACGGATGCAGTATGTATCATTATTATTAATAAAAATATCTATTTCTAGAATAGGCAACAAATAGTCTTAAAAACTCTTTACGAACCTCAGGTCTCCAATCCGAATACGTAATGCAAGTGGAATGGGAAAAGTCTTCGATCCAGGAGTTGGACGTGACTGCCACGGACCTGTCGACGGAGTGTCTGATAGACATGTTGACCAGGATTCAGAATTTGAGGTTCCTCAGCGCTGGACAGATTAACGGGTTCAATGACTCCGTGCTGAAAGCCTGGATGGAAGCTGGTACTGCTAGGTAAGCGTGGTGCTAGTACTCTTTTGTAAAAGGGCGTAGCAACGTATGATAAGAATTTTTATTTTCGAGATTTTTTATTTCTTTATCGCGATAGATACTTAGTGATTTTGTTTTTATAATCTGTTGCATATTTTTCAACGCTTAGAATGTTTGGATACCGTTGGTCACGTTGGTGTTCAGGGCCCTACTTATTGCTTACTATTTACCTAGAGGTATTTGTGTAGTGCAAGTGACTGTAAATGAAATATAGGTACACACTAGTTTATTAAATATCTACCTACTAATTTTTCACCTGGTTATCAGAAACCTGGTGGGCCTGGACGTGGACTCGTCCGACAACCTGACGGACGAGGCGCTGCACCGGTTCCTGTCGCGGCACGGAAACCAGCTGCACGGACTCGTCCTCAGCGGGATGCCACACATCACCGATCAGCTCTGGCAGAGCGTGCTGCAACTGCTCGTCAATGCCAAGTATGGTTACAAGTCTTTTAACTTAACCCCAAGTGTTTGCGCAAATCACTTTTCCGTGTTTGTCTATTTAACCTTCATTTTTACTTTTAATTTAAAACACCAAATACTATTATAGGTACCTATGCCGAAACGAAAATCTAAGCAAGGTACAACGAATTTTTTATTATGTCTTAGTGGTAGACGTGATTTTATTGACATATTTTTATTTGTATGAATCTAATTGAAGTAAAATGTTCTAAATCGTAAGTTAAATTTGTAATTCAATTTTGGAAGGTAAAGGACCAAGAATTGGTCCTTGAGGCAGCCCGTACCCGTCCTAGGTATATATAGAATAACAGCAGTAACTAAGTTCCATTATTTAGCTCGCTGCATTCTATGGTCAGTCACCTCAAACAATTAGTACTACGCAGCAGTAAATAAGCACTTATTTACATTTGTTTCGTAAACTGTAAAGTCCATCTTAACTGTAGTTTCGTAAAGCGATTAGCGTTTAAATGTTAACGAGTTACTTTGAATATTACGACAAGTTTACTGCCTAGGTAGTTTCTACGGATAGGTATTTTAAGTGGAATCGAACTGATATTGAATCCGATTTCAAATATACATTGATGATAGGTCTGACAAATAATCTTTAGAAATAATTTGAAAATCCAGTGAAATTAATTTAACAACTTAAAATTAAAGCTCACCTTGACAAAGTCGATAAGATTTTCGTTTTTTCTCTTATTTTTGATTTCCGTATATTGTGTTTATGCCTAGTGTTTTCATCTTATTTCAGGATCCTTATTATGGGCACACAAGAACGTCTTGGAGTGAACATCCACGTCGATCAAGTAAGTCTTACCAAGCCATTGTGAAAGAAACCCTATCATATATATTACTGATGAATTTAGATTAATAATACCTACCTTATTTTGCAGCTGATGGACGGCATAGCAAACAGTTGTCCTAACTTGGAGCGTCTGGAACTACGTTGGGATCCAGAAAACTTGCGTTTTAGTGACAAGAGTCAAAAGGCTATTGACATTCTGCGCGTCAAATGCTTGAAACTCAAATGTTTGGTGCTCAGGTATATGTTTTTTTCATATATAGACTAAATAATAAATGATTTGAAAATAAAATAATATTATTAGAAGCATTATCGAAATAAAGATGGTTTTAATATTATTTTTGATGACAAGAATCAACTTTTGAAACAAATCTTATTATCACAAGCATATAATTTTTTTTATAACTTTTTCTTTGCAGCGACGGTCGTTACTACGAAATCGTAAAGGCTAACTTCGAGCGCGCTGACCGTACGACCGTGGTCCGCACATCAACCAACTGCCGCGTCTCCAACTACTACCTCCTGTCCAATTACAAGGATCTTATATTCAACTAAAGCTTCCGATTGTGTATGTCCTATATTAATAACGTTATTGTTTTAAATAAATGTCTGTAAACATAATTAAGCTGTTAGATTATTTATTTAGCGACCACTTCTAGCAATAGCAGTATAAAAATGCACGTTTGGAAGTATAGTGCTATTGTTTTTTGCGTAGGCGTTCCGCAGGGTAGTATTTTTGGTCCATCGCTTGGCGCATCGCATTAACTGTAAAGTTTTTATTTAAAATATGTATATTACATCATAAGGAGAATAAACTAAAAAAGAGAAATAAAACTTCTTTTCAGCTTGTCAGAGCATTTTGATATTTTAATAAAACAGGATTATAAAATTTATAATTTGAGGTGATAAGCAACATATTACTAGACATTTTTTCATAATTTAAGTATATGTACTCACCTTGGAAGTTTCAATGACGACTAGGTTCCACATGTCAATGAAATACGTAAACAATACAATTTTATTTGAAAGATAGACAAAGTTCATTGAATTATTGACTTTTAATTAATTCTGTATATTTGAGTCAACATTGGATAGACCTATAGTGAATTATTGTTAGATAAATGTTTCTAAGCAGGTGTCCGACTAGTAAATATTACTAATATAATTTTTCGCCTTTTAATCCCCGAAAGGGTAGACAATGTACTTAAATCTCTATGTACATACATTACACGATAACACCAACTCTTCACAAAAATTTCTATCTCCAACAAAGTTAATAATCTCTGACAAAGTGACAAACCTAAGGATTCTAAGCAGTAACTTAGAAAAAATACTTATTTCTTTCTTTAGAAAACCTAATGCTAGACACACGTACCTAATGCCACAAAGTTCAACAGTAAGGTCAACGACTTCTGTATGAGGTCAGCCACAAACTCCTGCGCCGATGTTTTGATTTTTTATCATTCGTAGCTTATTGACGTTTTTATATTAATTTGTTTAAGTCTGATAGTTAATCAAACAAATTATACTTGAGGTAAAAGAAAAAAAAAAAATAATATAGGTACATACATGATTATCGGTAAAACATTAAATACCTCGTAGGTTTGTATTATTATTTCGTATTGAACCTAAAACATCTTGGTCGACATCCGCACATGCGACCACTGAAACACTGATTTAACTTTTAACCGGTTGATCCTGATGTTATTGTAGTAGACATAATATTATGTTCAACAGTAGTGTTTTTTCTTTTTGGCTACCAAGTGTCCAATTGATACGGTGTTGTCGACTATACTGTCAGTGTCGAATGGTGCAACAGTGGATGTCTTGTGGCTGATAATATTATAATCAGTTATGACATAATGGGTGCAGGCTTGTTACGTCATCGACAGTAGGACCAATAAGGTGAAAGGACAGCAAGAAACAAAATCGGTATGATTTATAGTCTTCAGCTTTTAATAAGGCATTTGGATTCACTTCATATTACGTGCACCCTGGTTCAAACGGTTGTATCTTGTAAATATCAGTATCTGTCATAAATATGAATGCTGTACAAATAGAAAAACACGCTTACTACTAAAATAATAGTTTATTTACATTTTATTATGGGAAAAATTACTATTTTTATATTTTTCATTTAAGTTAACCTCCAAATATTATAAGCTATTTCTAAATACCTTAACTATTTACAAATAGCTTCATTTTTTCGTCTAATATCTTCAAATACATTTCCAATATTAGAATTTTATCGAGTACTTGCAATTTGAAAGTCTGGAACGTGTACATTACAGGAGACATCGACATAAGTAAGCATCGAGTTACCACTAAGCTTATACTAAATAACCTCACACAGCATATTGAGAAAAACCATGCATCACAAGACAATTTAAACCTTAAATCACAGGTATATCGATCTGATTTAATATAATAAAAAAAAAAACAATAACTTACTATACAAATCGAAAAAATACCACTCAAATTATTCGGTTTCCGAACTGATACGAGTTTAATCTAAGTGGTACGCGTCCTCAACTCTCAGTCTCGCGCGAGTCATCTAACAGGGTCCCCCAGTAGCAGCTCGGGGTCCTCCTCGAGCAGTAAGTTCTGGTTGTTGGTGTTGTCCTCGTTACCCTCGTTGTCCTTGTTGCCATCTGGCTCTATCTTGTATAGTATGTCGTGGCACAGAGGACACCGGTCCTGTACGTACAACCACTTCCGTAGACACACTCCGTGGAAGTAGTGGTTGCAGCGAGTGATCTTTGCTGAATGCATCTCCTGATAGCATATTGCACATACATCGTCTAATCTGTTCAACTGGTCCGGTGATGCTTCTCTCAGAGAATTTATCTTATTGACGGCAGTGCGGCGCTTCATGAACACGGACCAGCCTGCTCTCGCCTCGCACCAAATGTTAAAGTAGGCGTGTATGCACATCATCACCGCCCTTATAGCACCTCCTGACTCGAACAATAATATCCACGCACCATTAAAGAACAAAAATATTCCAAAACAGAATTCTATAGTGTTCCCAAACGCTCTTATGTAGTACACATAGTCATCGAGTTGCTCCCAGAATGTACTTCGATATGCGTCTATTAAGAACAATGAGTATATCATTAGACTGACGATGACTTTCACTATCACTTCTATGCTGAACGCGCTCACAGCTAGCAGCCATGTGGAGATAGTGTGCTGAGACCACAAGTACACTAACAAAGAGATAGGAAACATTATCAAGAAGGCACACACTCCCAGAGCTCTAATGTGTCTGTGTGTGCTTGGATTATGCGACGCACTCAAAGACATAAGCATAGGATTAACAATGTTGTGCAAAAAGTGTAAGAGAGCAGTAAACAATAAACAAAAGTTCCTACATAGTCGTATAAACCTCTTCTCAGGGTTTAGTGATGTCAATCCTGTCTGTAACGCGAGTATGTAGAACAGGATTGCCGACACTGTTCCTATACTTTTGTCTTCTTCTTCATCAGTTAGTAGGATCCATTGGAAGAAGTTGCCAATATAATGGCAAAAGAATGAGATCACAGAAGTCATGCCGAGCACAGCAGTTATCGTTTCGCATCCAGTTACTAGGAGAGACTTGGTCATCGCAGCTAGTGATTGAACTGCTAGTAATGTGGAAACTTTCAACCCTTCTTCGGCTTCTTCATCATAATTATCCACAAGGAGCATAAGAGCGTGTTCCGCTACTCGTAGTACCCAGAACACCCGCAACACACACGGTACATTCAACCGCATCCACTCAGTCTCGACGAGTGCTGACAGTCCATAGTTGCTGACGAACAGGCGGCCATGTTGGTAGCCTGCGTACACCACATGTATCACGTTGTACGCCGACGACCACAGCACGTACTTCACCAGCAGGAGCGGCAGCAACGCCGAGAACACTGGCGAATGATGCAGAAGATTCGGAGGAACTGGCAACATCGCTAGGAACGAGGGTGCCATGAAGCTGATGGGTAGCAGCTTCTGTATCGTCGGATGTCGAGGTCCGAGATGGACATACTTGAATATGATAGCCAACAGGAACTGTATAGCATAATTTTGTATGACCAGTATACCTGGTCCGTCTACATCGATGAGATTTTTGATGTTTAAATTTAATACGTCTTCTAATATGCTGGTGGAATGGTGAGGTGAATTTTCGACTAGTGTTAAGGCCTGCATCTGTTTGATGGCCGACACGTTCGTCCAATAGGACACGAAGACTAGGCCGACTGACGTCAGGTAGAGGTACACGATGATTAGGTGCTTCGTGTAGAGAACAAATATGCAGAGTGCTGACATGCATCCTGAAACAGAACAGAAGGCTTATGTTACAAGTTGGAAAACTTTACAACGTAAATATTTATTCGTAATTACGCTTTGATTAGTAATTACTTAATTTAAGTATTTGAGTGAATTTCAATGTAATTTCTATAGTCACGACAACCAAGACAGTGTGTCTTCTTTTAAGTTTGAAAGTAATATTATAGTATAACCTATACAATTAATTAGTTACTTGGAACTGTTTAGACTATAGACCTTAGCATAAAGTCAATTATAAATATTTATAAACACAGTAGAGTCAGTTAATTAAATAATGATTACGTCACGATGTTACCTGTAATTGAGTAGGCCTCAATATAAACAGTATCAGATAAAATATTCAAGTTTATTGAGCATGATCCACTGTGCTACAAAGCGTAGAGGTCATGACCTTACTTAACTAAATGCTTGAATTAACTGTCTAGGATTTTGTCTACAATTCAACAACTAAAACTGAGTTGCCAAACAAAATGTTTGAATTTCGGAACGACTGCACCATGTTCGATATATTTTGTTGCTTTCGTTATTATTAATTAGAACAAGGTTTGTATGAAAGAAGACATCGACAAATCACCGAAAAAGATAGGTTGCTAGAATTTTATTAAATACAATGCAATGCTTGGATAGACATATTCGAGGCCTGTTCAGTTACGAACATTTAAAATCATTTAACAAATATTTTTTTATAGATTAGTTAGATAAATTTAATTCCAGCTCAGTGATTTTTTTCATTGAAATAAAAGAAGTTAGTTTATGTGTCAAATAGTTTTCGATACAATGTGAAGGCCGTGGTTACGATTACGACATTTTTATAAACACGCTGAAGGTTCAACGCCGGTGTCAGTTCTCATGAAAATTATTATGCCAAACGTTATTAGAGGCCTGAAAGTTTTAAAAATCTCACCTTGACTGTCTGTATCAGATTAAAAGTCTTAATATAAAAATTAGAATATTTTTAGAAGTAATTTCTCATATACTGGGCATCTGGGTTTCAGTGCCTCCCGTGCAATTAGAATAAAAGAATAGGAAGTTTTTTATTTTAGTAAAAAAAAACATAACAAATTAAAAATTAACAAGTTATAGAATCAAAAATTTTAAATTTGGGAAAATGAACGTTTGACAGTGACATAGTTTGCGGTCTTGGCATGTCATAAGCAGAAGTGTAAAACGACTGCATTGTATCTTGGAGGTCACGGTAGAAACGATTCGGTTGCTTACTTCGTTAACATAGAAAACATTTTAAATTTGTTCTAAACCTTCTGGATACCTTATTGCTCTAAGTAAATCTTGGATAATGAACAGATTTAAAGTGCATGTAACGCGAATATGGAATTAGTCATAGGACTTTTTTAGTACGTCTAGACAGATAATCTCTTGGTCTTTTGGCTCCCATTTTAAGAACCGAGAAAAGTGATAAAGGCTTCACAGAAGACAATAAAAACAATAAAGCTGAGACAATTTTTAACTATATAGATTTAAATAATACCATTATATAAAAAGATTTACAGTTGTGGCTTTACTTGTCTTTTCACTACAATTAAGGGTAATTATGGTTATCATGCCATTTCAACGGATGCAGAAAGAGACTATATGTAATTATACGCAGACCAGTCCACACCTTTGCATTTTATGATTCTGTCTGACTACACCTACACCAATTACTCTTCGCTTCACCGATTCATGGTCACCATTACAACTGGCTGAATTACTAATCGTATAAAATAAGTTAGTTAATAAAATTAATAAAACATAACATACAAACTCGAGGTAGAAGAGTTATACTGCAGTTTTTAATTTTTGTTTATTTATGTTCACGTTTTTTCAAAACTCGTTTCTGTCCGATTATTAGGGCTTCTCCAACATTGTTGAAATGAGGTCAACATCATTATGATCTTTAATTTGACCATCGATATACTTTTTATCGTTTTGCCTTTGATTTTTACGGAATACGGGTTAAACAAGCAGGCGAATCACCTTATTATCATGATCATCAACAGCCTATAAATGCCCACTGCTGAGCAAAACCTCTTCTCACACGGAGAAGGTTTAAGCATAAACCACCACGCTTGCTCAATGTGGGTTGGCAATTACAGACTTATAATTAGAAATTATAAGCCCAGGTTTCCTCACGATGTTTTCCTTCACCGTTTGTCAGTGGCGTCTAGATAATCTTAGAAAGTACATATATCTCGGAAAAAGTTACATTGGTACTTGCCATTGGCCTCTTAAACCTCCAAACCACCACGACACCCCACGACACATGCACATTATAGCACCAGCTAAACCGCAAGTGCATTTTATGTAACCTTTGTTTATATTTGAGTTCTAAAATAAAAATATTGGAAAAGGAAGAGTTCTTTGAACTTCTTTGCCCAGTTTTGCAGCATAATATAAAAATATAAGAGAAAGTGTTTTGATACTGCGACGTTTATTATTGTTGACTAGCCACAGAATTAATCTACAACTTTCAAAACAGGTTAATTTTTGTGGTCGTCGTATTTTATCTTAATATGGCGAATTTTATTAGGCTTAATATTAGGAAACTAAGCTTTTTTTCTGT